CGAGTTTGTAGCAGCGATGTCAGACAAGATATGAATGTTTTTTTGAGCTCAAATGAAAGAGCGGGTCGAGAAATGGCGTGCAGAAGTCTTTAAAGATGACAAATCTCTCTAAAGATGATGTCTGTTTTCAATTGAAAAGCGCAATTGTGACAACATTTTCCAGTGGGTTCTAGGAGTCTCCCCTGGTTCAACACCATCTTTAGAGGTCCTAGCACGCCATTTCTCGACCCGCTCTTTCGTTTGAGCTCAAAAAAACATTCATATCTTGTCTGATATCTTTGCTACAAACTCGGGTCTACAACTCGGGCCTTCAATTGAAATATGTAATTAATGATTACTTTAATAATTTTAAAGTGTTCTCTTCTCCATTTTGTATCGACTGAAGACATAAATTTTAGTCGTTACAACCCCCAAATCCCCAGTCATGCATCATTTAATGATCCGGATGTGATTCTTTCAAGAGGCACGGAAGCAACAGGTGTCCGCTTGTGCTAATGCACACGTCAGGACTTGAGACACACTTCAACCGGATGCTATGTTTTTGGACGATTAACCGATCCATAAACAATGCACTTGCGTTACGAAATATAATTTTAATTGCGGGAACTATCCCACAGGCTTGATTTATATTTAACAATTCCAGGTGATTATTTTTTCCGAGCCAATTTTATGGTTATAATTTTTTTTTAACAAGTTATGTTTTGTTGAATTGACGAAATTTTTTTAGAAAATGTCAGTGACATGTTTTATGATTTAAGAGTTTAATTTATTGAATTGAATTTCTTCATTTTCCCAACGAACAGATGAGCGCGCGCACAGGTCTAGTCCCCCAAAAAATTTGATCACAGATGTCCTATCGACATATTTTCACGTACCCAATAACAACATGATGCGCAACGACGTACTATTAATTATTATTTACAATTCCGGTGGTGTAAGCATGTAAAATACGTGTCTACACGCCGACAGGATGTAACCGACATTCCCGTGTTACTCACGACTGAGTTATTTAGTTGTCGCCGGGGGTATCACAGCTATTGGTATGGACGATACATCCGGACGACATACAGATGAATTCTCAAAAGCATCCCTGAGGCTGGTGCATTCGACCGCTCCATCAAAACGAAAAACTTAAGATCAAATTTTCCGAATCTCATGGGTGAAGCGTTAAAGTAGTACATACATAACTTGACTAATTGTAGAGAGAATTTGATGGATTAATTGTTTGCTCTCGTCAAAGCTAGCGTTCATGTAAGAAATTATCAATGATGAATAATTTTTTGTCGGGCATTTTAAAGTCATTTTTCCTCAGTACAAAAAATTAAAATTAAAAAACAAAAAAATTTGAATAAAATTTTGACTCACGATATTCTCGATGGAGCATTTCATTTTTACGTGCATCCAATTCTCGACGACATGGAATAATTTTTCTTAATAGCCTCTATTAACTCACTATCCCGCGTAATCCGTGATTATGGGGCAGAGCCAATCGTACAAATATTGGGTCGGGTGTGGCCCCAGTATCTCATATTGTGTGCTAATGGGGATTGTGCACGTATGCAAGCTGACAATGGGGGGGTTTGTGTGGGGATGAGAGTGCACCCGGTGGGAATGACTTTTTGGTAGATCCGGTGCTTTATTTTTTTTTTTTTCGAAAGGGGTAAGACCCATTGATATGCTAACGCCATTATTTTCGCTGTTTGTGTCTATTCTTGATGGAGAGTTTATGAAAGAGTGGCCGTTGCCCTTCATAAATATCATCAAGTGAATTTTAATCGCAAATTGACAGCCGCGAAAAAAAATTTACGAAGTATTTAAACTATTTTGACATTTTTCAAGCCTTTATTTCGTTGAAACAAGTATTTCACAATAAATAATTTTTTCTGATTATTGCCCTTCCATTATGCCCATATGCCCAATATCATAGAATGGTATTCAATTCTCTTTTGTTTGCTGGGCGAGCTTCATGAAAATTCGCCGCAAGACGATTGTACTCATGAAAACCGCCTTTTTCCATACGTTCGAGATATTTTCCAAATATTTAAATTTTTTCGAATTTTCCAACCCGATTTTTCCCTCCTCTCAAATGAAAAAGAGAGGACTCGAGATGTCAAGTGAATAATTGCCTCTCCAAGGGAGTATTGTACTCGATTCCCACCCCGAGTGTCAAAATGTAGCTGGAATGTTGGGTAAGGACTGAATGGGGGGGGAGCCCTCTAGCCCCAACAAATGACCTGCCTCCTCGGTTCGAGTGTTTTTACCTCTCCTCCCACAAATTCCATCCACTTCAACAGTCCCCCATTTCTCAGTGATTTTCTACGACCCCCCAATGTTTTTACCGCTGTATTTTACTTGACGCGCTTCATTGTGAATTCATTCCAATTCTCCGAAATTCATGGTTTCCGGTTTAATGGAATCACTTATTTTCTTATTCGTGCAGAATGGCTGCGGAAGCTGCTAACAAAAAGGCTGAACGCGAGGCACTTCGTGGGGTTATTCAACAATGGAACGCCAATCGTCTGGATCTCTTCGAGCTGTCGGAACCGAACGAAGTGAGTCGATGAGATGAGAATTATATTTATGGATGAATATGTGTCCCAATTTCTAGGAAACGTCTAGATATGGATTTGTGGCTAGACAGGAATTTATGTCTGGGTATGAATGCAGTCAGGAATTTATTTATTCAGGTTTCAACATAAATTTATATCCCAAGTTTATGCCTGAACCAGAATTAATGTCCAGACAGAAATTCCTGTTCAGACAGGAATTTATGTCCAAAATTTATGCCTAAGCCTGACTTTATGCCCACAAAGAAATTTATGTCTAGACAGGAATTCCTGTTCAGGCAGAAATTCATATACAGACAGGAATATTCTCTCTGTGAATTCATGTGCAGGCAGAAATTTCTACTCAGGCTTAATTTCATTACCAGACAGGAATTCCTGCCTAGACAGGAACTCATACGCAGACAGGAATTCCTGTTTGTACAATTCTAAACAGAAATTCCTGTCCAGACATTGACTCACGCGTAGACAATAATTTTAAAATTTATTCTGGCGTGAATTTATGTCAAGGCAGACATTTCGGTTCAGACAGAAATTTCTGTCGGGACATAATCAATTGCTGATGCATCCAGTCAAATCTAAAAGCGATCAATTCCCGAAAAAAACTCAAAACCATTAGGAATGATTTCACCAATATATTCAATATCTCCAGGACTTGGAATTCCATGGAGTCATGAGATTCTACTTCCAAGATAGCGGTCAGAAAGTAGCAACAAAATGTATTCGTGTGGCCTCAGACGCAACGAGTCAGGCTGTGATCGAAACCCTTATCGAAAAATTCCGTCCTGATATGCGCATGCTATCCGTTCCCGAATATGCACTTTACGAGATCCATGAGAATGGAGGTAAGTTATATTCCCAGAGGAGAAATCAATTCGATTGAGACATGTGAATGATCGATCACTTCCTTTGGCTTCCAGAGGAGAGAAAGCTGGGGCTTGAGGAGAAGCCACTGCTCGTTCAGCTCAATTGGCACATTGACGATCGTGAGGGGCGATTTCTTCTCCGTCGAATTGACGATAAAACTAATGCTCAGGGGGTGGGTTTCGGTGAGGGCACGAGTTTCAGGCGAAAATTGAGTAAGCGAGAGAAAAAGCAAATGAAGAAGCAGGAGAAGTTGAGCCGCCTGAAGAGTGCTGAACAGGATGAGAGCACGGTGCCAGTGGATCAGAACGGTGTTGCCGAAAAACTTTATACTGGTGAGTAAAAGATGCATTTGTTGAGTTGTTGCATACCGAGATGCATATCAGGTCTGGTTTATGTCATATCAATAATTTGTTATGTCATAAATGTGAACAGGAATTCCTGTCTGGATATTAACAGTAACAATCATCTGTTGAAATCGAAAGGGAATCAAATATCAGACAGGAATTCCTGTCTGGAAGTGAACTCACCCCTAGGCGGGAATTCCTGTCGGAGATTTAATTCTGTTTCGATTCCAGGAATTCCTGTTTGTGATTTTCTGGCAGCAATTGTCGCCAGATTCTTGAACAGGAATTCCTGTCTGGATATTAACTGTGACTTGAAATTGAAAGAGGACCACATCGTAGACAGGAGTGCCTGTCTAGGCGTAACTTCATGCACAGGCAGGAATTCCTGTCTGTGATTCGAGCCGTTTTTTATTTGAATAGATGATATAACTGTTAATATCCGGACAGGGATTCCTGCCTGGCCATAAATGCATGTTTGAACAGGAATTCCTGTTCGGCGATTCGATCCTCTTTTAATTTGAATAAATGATTGTTGTTATTAATATTTAGACAGGAATGCCTGTCCAAATATTAACAGCTACTATCACCTGGCATCAATTAAAATGGCTAGCAGGAATTAATTAAATTAGCATTAACATTTAAGCAGGAATTCTTGTCTGATCATAGACTCATGTTTAAACAGAAATTCCTGTCTGGATATTAACATCTACTCTCATCCTTTCAAACTCCAGGGGATCAAATCACAACAAAAAATTCCGTCTGCACGTGATTTAATTCCCAGACAGGAATTCCTCCCTGAAAAAAAGGAGAAGCAAAAAAAATATTAACCCACATTTTCAAACTTGAGGAATCAAAGGAAACTTGACTATTATCATGTCTTCTGAAACAATTCAACCATCCACAATCCTTCCCCCTAATATAAACAGTTTCTATCGATTAGCGAGTTGGCGTTGCCAAGCTCCCACCTACGTAAATCGATACTTCTTTAATCGAAAGCCATCAGGAAGCTCTAATTCCATTTTGGAAACCCCAAGCCCCTGGAAAATTTCGAACCAAAAATTTTTACCTGCCCTCAAAATCCACTAAATCACCCCTCTCTCTCTCTCTCTCTCTCTCTCTCTCTCTTTCTCTCTCTCTCTTTCACTCTTGACCCAGAAGAAAAATCAGTCTATTTACCTTCCAGAATTACCTGAAACGAGTTTCACCCGAAGTATTTCAAATCCGGAAGCTGTGATGCGTCGCCGTAGACAGCAGAAACTCGAGAAAAAACTACAGCAATTCCGTAGTAAAGACGGTGGTCCCGATACTGGGGGAACATTAAAAATTTATGGCGAAGCCCTCTGCAAAGATGTGCCTTACAAGACCCTTTTGTTGAGTGTCAGAGACTCGGCGGCTCAGGTAGTCAGAGAGATGCTGTCTAAATACGGGCTTGACAAGGTTGATCCACAGCAGTATTGTCTGGTGCAGGTGAGCACTTCTCACGAATATTTTAAAATAATGTAGACATTTTTTTGAATTAATGCTGCATTGTCATCGTCACGATGATAATTTCATTAAATAACATGTGACAAATTGTCGAATGGATCTTCATTTTCTCGATTTTATCAATGCCAAATTTTTTTATTCCTTTTAGAGGACCATTACGTAATTTCCTGGACGATTCATTCATTTTCGAAAAATAATAGTTTCATTATTTTTTATTCTTATTTTTGATTAATGCTATTCTATAATCATCAGAAAGCTAATTTTATCAAATAATATGTGACGAGTTGTTGAATAGGTCTCGATAATTAGAAAAAATCACTGAAAAGATTTTTTGATGATATCAATGTCAAATTTTTAAAATTGTTTTTATAATCTTTAGGAAAAAATGAAGTTGTGGGGATTTTTAAAATTAGGTGAAACCAAAAGCCAATTTATTTTCTCAATTTTCAAAAAATAACAATCTCCTCTCCTCCATTTTTAAATAACGTGCAACATCCTGAATTAATTTCACATTACCATCGCTAAAAAAAACGTCACTCCGATTACTCGAGTTAGAATGATCTCGTTATTCTTTTTGTGTTTGTATATCTGTCCCTCTGAGATGTGAATGGACATATTGGATTCGTTTGTAACACGATCTCTGGGTTTGGGAACAAGTTTTCGTGGTGTTGAGTTACAGAACAATTCGTTTACATTTCAATGACACATTTTTTCGGGCATTTGTTGGAGGACATTTTGGTAAGCAGCACGTGCTGATGGAGTCAATCGACATGTGTCAGGTCTCTCTCACGTAATTTAATTGTAATTATTATTGTCATTAAGGGTGGTGAGAGAAGTTCAGTGATTTAATGTTAGTGGGGGGCTTTGCCACTTGATCAATAGCTATTGTTTCAACACGTCGGGTTTATTGTTGTTTGATTTGCGTTGGGGGCGAGTCGGTAAGGCAGGCCCTATCGACCAGAACTTATCTTCGTTTTCCGACTAGTTCCCTGGAGGTCGGTAAGAGACACTCCTACAATCCCCCAAGAGCAACGCAGGGATCTTCAATAAATTTATAAACAACGAATGTTTAAAAAAATCATAATTTTGTGCAAATTGTCATTTTAATAAAAATTTGCACAGAATTATTATTAATTGAAATTTGATGATTGAAAATTGTTGAATCTATAGTGTGGTCTGTACCCAACTGTAAAAGACACTTGAGTATCTTTAATCGATGTTTTTCGTTTTCTCAGGTCAATGGTGAAGCCACCAGCGGCAATGCTCATCAAGAATACATCCTCGATGACGACGAATGCCCGCTGGCGATACTGATGAACCATCCCTCAACACGCGGTGAGTTTACGAGAATTCAAATTATTTATGGGTTGATATAAATGGAGATTGTCATGGCACTTGAGTGAATGACTGTAGATCGGATCCTTCAGTCCTCAATACTGAGAAGAAATTCCTTGAGTCGAGGGAGAAATTATAGAATAGGCCACAAGATTCAGGAAGTCTCTCAGCTAATCAGGGTGAATAAAAAATAAAAGCGTGACTGGAGAACATAATTTTTTTTATTTTTAAATTTATTTCTGCCCGTCTCAAATTGATAAAAAATTTTTTTTTTTTTTTATTGAGAAATTAGTTTTTACATTTTTAGTAGCAGAATAGCGAATTCACGCAGAATTCAATAATATTTATATACTAGGAGGTTCGATACGCTCGCCAACTCCCATGTGACCCTCATGTGAACCCCATGACCCTTATTTTGACCTTCTTGACCCTTATTTCAACCCTCATGATCGTCGCGACCCTTATGTTGACCCTTATGACCCTTATTTTGACCCTCGTGAACCGTATTCTAACCCTTGCGACCCTTCGAATACCAAATTTTTAACCTCAGAAGTGGATTTGAATTTTCATAATATAGACAATCTGAAAAAATAATTCTTCCGCCAAGAACTTTTCACTTTAAATCATAAAATCACACGAGTCTGAAGGGTCACAAGAGTGAAAAAGCCCTTAAGCTAATCAGGGTAAAATAGAAATCACTAGAATGAATGAAAAAATTAATATTGAAATTTCGAAATTTACAACAATTTTATTCTCTCGTTGAAATATATTCCGTACATAAGAATCTACCCTCCGAAATCATGGGGTCACGAGGTTCACGAAAGACTTCTGCTCAGTGACATTTCCAGTTCCAAACTTTCGCATTCCCTTAGAATTCGTTGATATTTACCCACCATCTGTAACTTCCACAAACTATTCCCCTAATTTGATTACTCAATTCATTGAACCCCCAGTTTCCCTCCAACTTTACACTTCTCCAACCGTGTATACTTTGAATTATTCTACGTGTGTTCGCAATGTGGAAGTGAAATAACATTTGAGTTTGATGCAGGCAAAAGATCGTGCGCTCTGAATTCAAAATGAGAAATAACATTTTCACGTGTTTGTTTCCCTCCGGTTACAGAGGGAAAATTTTAACAACCGAAGACTATAATATTCTAATATTACCACGAGATAAGGTAATCGGGAGTCGGCGCCAAAGACTGTTATTTTTGTTACTCGATATGCTTCCGACAACCAATTGAACTCCCCCGCTGATTATTTATAGATGGATTTCACTATTTCAGGGGTATTATTCAAGTATTTCATGCGGATGTGATTCGATTATCCTGCGGTTTGTTTTTATTAATAAGAATCGAGGGAAAATTATAAATGACTTGAATTAAGACGTTTTGAAGACACTAGTTTTTACCATATACAGTAAAAAGACTAGTGTCGGAAATGGAGACATTAAGACATGCATTCTAGGTATTCTAGGTGCGAGCGAAGTGAGCGGGGGGGGGGGGCTAAGCCCCCCCGGGGTTGGCGAGCGAAGTGTACAGTTAAAAACAGTTGTCATGAAGCAGAATTTGAAGGGTGGAAGAATTTTCGCGATTGGGAGAGAGCGAAGCGAGCAGGGGGGCAAGCCCCCCGGGGTTGGCGAGCGAAGCGAGCAAAGGGCGAAGCCCCCTAGTTAAAAACAGCTGTCATAAAGCAGAATTTGAAGAGTGAGAGAATCGAAGCGAGTGGGGGGGCTGAGCCCCCAGGGTTGGCGAGCGACGCGAGCAAAGGGCGAAGCCCCCTATTTAAAAGCAGCTGTTATGAAAAAGAATTCGAAGAGTCGGAGAATTTTTACGATTGGGAGAGAGCGAAGTGAGCGAGGGGGCTAAGCCCCCCAGGGCTGGCGAGCGAAGTCCCCCACTCAAAAATAGCTGTCATAAAGCAGAATTTGAAGAATGAGAGAATTTTCGCGATTGACAGAGAGCGAAGCGAGCGGGGGGCTGAGCCCTCAGGGTTGGCGAGCGACGCGAGTAAAGGGCGAAGCCCCCTATTTAAAAGTAGCTGTTATGAAAAAGAATTCGAAGAGTCGGAGAATTTTTACGATTGGGAGAGAGCGAAGTGAGCGAGGGGGCTAAGCCCCCCAGGGCTGGCGAGCGAAGTCCCCCGCTCAAAAATAGCTGTCATAAAGCAGAATTTGAAGGGTGAGAGAATTTTCGCGATTGACAGGGAGCGAAGTGAGCGGGGGGGCTGAGCCAGGGTTGGCGAGCAGGGGGCGAAGCCCCCCAGTTAAAAATAACTGTCATTTCAGACTATTTCTTTCAGATAGAAACGTCTTATTTTAAGACCTAGATCTCATTCATCACGGGTTCTCAAACTGAGACGTCTCCAAGCCCCTACTTTCCACCCCCATTTTCACCTCCGAATTTCTTCGCGCTACCTCACACAAAAATCGATTTCTTCTGTAAATAATCAGCTGAGAGGCTCCAGATGTTACTCCGGGGACAACGTCAGACGTTTTTTTTCCCCTAAGCTCTTGAAAATATATTCCGTTTCTGTGCCACCAACATACGTTACCGCTTGTAAATTTTTTAGTCTGTACGATCCAATTAGTGTGTCCCCCGAGGCTTTCTTGAATTTGAAACACAACATTTTCACTGGGCGAGGGTGCGCTAATGCCCTTATGACGTGGTTTATAGAAACATCTTGTCGGCTATTTTCATACGTAAAGCTTTTTTAATTGGCGATTCGTGACACCTCAGGAAAAATCCCTGTTTCCCCCTTTTTCTAATGGTCATTTATGTTTATATTCCTCCAATTATCTCCAAGTGGATTGAAGTTAATCGGGGGATTATATTCTTCGTGATGAATCGTGTTCTCATCAGACATGCGAAGATCCCCTACTCATAATCCCTTTATCGTTCAGCTTCTCTTTCAAGAGTATTGATCCGCATTACGACGATCCTCGGTGATTCGTCCGAAGTTGACACCGAAGATTCTGGAAAATTCTGATACGATTCACGTAATGCAATCTGCGGATTCCATTGTCCCACCTCGGCTGTCCAGCTTCGACCGGACGTGTTTTTTTAAATTAAAACAAACTTCCTTCCCCTCGTCGGGTATTTACATAATATCCTTGCTTACTCGAACGTATCGCTGGCAGACACTGGAGTGTGTCAAGGAGAGATATGAGAATTAATTCTGAGTAATTTATTTACGTGGGATGGAGAGCACTGACCTCTCAAGCATCATCTCTTCTTTATTTGCAAATTGAGTAAATCAAGGGAGGAAATTATCGTACACTCTTACAAAATATAATAAATACTGGTGCCAGGGGTGTTTATTCCCTTTTATGCATTAATTGTTTATTATTTTTCTTGTTTCAAAAAGTAATGCGACTGATGCGAGTCATATGTCATTCTCATTCCATTCTCCCTCAGTCAAAGTCGTCACTCCACTCACCTTTTCCATCAGTCAATCTAAAAAAATCATCTCAAGCTAAAAAAAAAGTACATCTAAAAAAATGATCAACAAAACATCGTTATCTCCTCCGTAATCTACTAACATTCACCTACAAAAAACATTCAGCTATTCCCTATACAAGTCTCCCTCACAAAAAAGCCTCTTCATCCCAAGGAAGGGGCAAAAACCTCCTGACAAAATGAAAATCTTTTCGTTTGACTTGTCTCCCAAGTGTCCGTATAACGAAGAGCCCCAAAAAAACCCCTAAATGAGGGCTTGAATCCGAACAAAGAGAAGGAGAAAAACAAAAAAAAAGTTAAAAGGGAATCTGCGGTGTAGTCCTTGAAGAAATGCCCCCCCCGCCGCCACCGCCGCCGGTGTGGGTGTGTAAACGTACGAGTGAGACAGATTGGACTAGGTGAGATAGGATTGGCCGAGGCAGGTCGAGGGAGCCCAACGGTATAGCACAGGGTTGGGGGTCACGCTGCCTTCGTGCTTTACCCAAGCTTCAGTTGCCTCTCGGTGCTCCAACCGTAGTCATTCGTCTGTGTCCACTCGAGGTAGTATAAAATCACTTCACCATTGCCAAGTGCCATAAACCATCATTTCCCACCGGATCGTGATGTCTTCATCAGTAGGAAAATTCACATCGCCAAGTCTTCGTGAAACTCTGGGACCACATTGACCTGAATGAGACAGCCTGATGACGATGATTTGACAAGAATTAATCATCAACATGCCTACGCATCAGGATTGAAGGCTGAACCCTGGCTAATTGCACAACTGATCAGCTTACCCAATCCGATAATGTGAGATAGTTCATTGTGATTGGATACGTAACACAGCGTACAACGATTTTCCTCATCGAAGAGAATGAAATTTGATATTTAGAGAGATTAATTATTGACCCGACTTACTAATTCACCAAAAGTCTCTTGCATCAACGTATTTACAATGTTCAGATGGACCTAGCAACATTCTAAAAGAATCGGCAAATAGTGGCCTGGAACAGCCTATCAACAGTAGAAACAAGTGGACCTGATGTTTTTTATTTACATTATAAATATGACCAATATATCGAGAAACCAATGTGGACCAACTGAGGGATCTTTAATCTACCAAAGACTTTAGGCCTTAGTGATCTTGTGAATTGATGGACTGTGACATTTACACGGAATTAATGGAGTTATCTTCCTACGTACCTTGAGTTATGAGGAAATAAGCCTGAGTTGGAGGTATTAAGTGCTGTGAGCTTTGACCGCTAACATAACTCATTAGGAGGGACTGTGATTACTGAGCACGATGATGGATTGGGGAATCAGACGTAAGCTTGTTTTCCTTTTGTTGGGTTTAGGAGGGGACGGGAGGTGCTCAAGGCGGTCGTTTTGTTTAGTAAACAAGTGATTTTAGGGAGGGAAAGGGTTTATTTTTGCTTAGGGAAGCTCCGGTTTTTCGAAGGGAGGGTTTCCGCGTGAAGATTGATGTCTATTAGAACTCAAGTTGTCAGATGAAGGAAACATGGTTTTTGGCCGTTCATGCGGATGTTTGAGGGTCAACAGTCG